TAACACATGTGTTTATGCAGACACTAAGTACAAAACATTGCATCCAATTCAAACACTGTTCTAGAACATGCCACTGTCCAACATCCTCTTCAAATGACTATTTCCCGTTCAGGGAGAGTTCTTGAAAGATAATGGAGGTGAATACAGCCTTCCTCCAGGTCAGTGAGAGCTCAGAAAAAGACAGTAAGAAAGAACTACAATAAAAATGCATGACTAGCCAGGCCAGTGTGACTCAGTAGCTTGAGTGTTGTCCCATAGGCTGAGAAGTCCCAGTTCTATTTCCAGTCAGGACATATGTCTGAGTTTGGGGCTTGATCCCCAGTGGGGGGTGTGCAGGAGGCAGCCAATAGACGTTCTCTCTCTCTCCCTTTATCTCTCTCTAAAAAAATCAATAAAAACTTATTTTCTTTAAAAAGGCATGACTCAACTCTCTACTCAAATCAGTATTTTGAAGAAAACTTCTGTTTTAAAGACATGTAAGATAAGTAAGTAAATAAATCAATAAATGTAATTTTCCTGGAGGACTTGGTGCAGTGTCATTGGCAATTTGGACTTTCTTCTTGGGATGTGTGGTTTAAAACTTCTCAGGGCTCATATCCAATGGATTCTTTTAAAGACAATTAGGACATTCAATCCAGCACCTAGTAGATACTGTTGGACACCAAAGCCAAAATGAAAGGCAATATATATTTGCCAATGGATTCAAAAGAGAGAGGATTCTAGTTAACATTTTAAAGGCCACAAGAAAAAATAACCACCAGTTATGCAGTGTTTATGGTTTTCAAAGCATTTTCTTACACACAATCTTCATTCGATCCTCACAATACTCCTATGATTTGTATATAACTGGTTTATCTTAGCTTATTGGTAAGAGATTCGAGACTTAGAGAGATTAGGTGACTTGCACAATGTCATGCAGCTAGTATGTGATAGAGCTGGAATTGAAGCCCAGGCTTCTCTATTCTAAAACAAACAAATAAACAAAACAAAAAAACATGCTCTTAATGACTACACTTAAGATTCCTCATAGTGAGGCACACATAGCTAGTAAATGTTAGGACAAGACAGAATATTTTCATTCAAGTTGGCCATGTACTGGCTGTTTTACAGGTAGTTAATTAAGTAGCTCTCTTTAACATCCCATTTCTTACAATAAAAGAGAAGCTAATGTTATGTTGAAAGCCAGAGAATAGTGTCTTAGAAGTTTTTTGGAAAAGAATGGTGTGTACTCACTAAACCTGGACAACTTGGGTCTCCTTAGGTGATTCCAGGTGCAATGATTATGGATAAGATAATTTGAGAACATTTCCAGAAAGCTAATAGCTTTTATATTGGAATATGTCAGTATAAATGTAGCTACCAGGTTCTTAGAAAGTATCTAAGTATAATGTCAGCTCAAACCAATGGTGTGATCTGGCTCCTTGGACACATCATTTAATGCACAAATGCAATTGTTTATATGCTCTTCTCTCAATCATCCTGCCACAAGTAGAATGATTCTGTAGTTCAAACAAGAGGCCCAAACTTACCTTTAAGGTGTTCCTCAAGTTTCAAATGAGACAGAGCACCTTCACTTAATACCTGGCACAGAGAAAAGGCAGCTCCACAAAATAGGAGCTCTCAGCACTCTTCCTGATGTTGCATAGATATGAAGGTCCAACTTATAAGATGAGTTAAATTAACTATATTATATACATGGTACTGTGTTACCTTGCCAGAAAAGAAAATTATTTTGACAGCCCCTCAATAAGTTAAACATATAATTACTACATGACTCAACAATTCAGTTTCAGGTGGAAGACCTGAAAATAATTTAAAGATTACATTGAAAAAAACTGAAATGTGTTCCAACAAACTTAGACACAAATGCTCATAGCAGCCCTATTTTCAATAGCTAAAAGGTGGGGGGGGGGACACCAAAATGCTCATCAAGTGATAAATGGATAAATCAAAGAAAGTATATCCATACAACAAAATATTATTTACTCATAAAAAGGAATAAAGGAATTCAGTATTGATAATGCTACAACATGGATGAACCTAGAAAACATTATGGTTAAGTAAAAGAAGCCAGTTACCAAAGGTCACATATCATATGATTTAATTTATATGAAATAGGCAAATTTATAGTAACAGAAGATAGATTAGTGGTTGCCAGAGGCTGAGAGAATAGGGGAATTTGGATTATCTGCTTAATGTATGTGGGTTTTCCTTTTGGGGTGATGAACATAGTCTAGAACTGGTGATGGATGCACAGCCTTGTGAAAGTACTAAATGTCACTGAATTGTACACTTTAAAATGGTGAATTAAAGAAAAATTTGCCTAGCTGGTATGGCTCAGTGGTTGAGCGTTGACCCATGCAGCAAGAGGTTACCGGTTCGATTCCTGGTCAGGGCACATGCCCAGGTTGTGGGTCAAATCCCCAGTTTGGGGCATGCAGAAGATAGCCAATCGATGTTATCTCTCATCGATGATTCTATCTCTCTCTCCCTCTTCCTTCCTCTCTCTAAAATCAATGAAGATTTAATTTTTTATAATTAAATCTGTATATCTTTGAAAAAACATGTTAGGCCTCAAAAAGTCAGAGCTCACCAAACATAGCTGGCACTGTTGCTTCACTACTACACACATATTTTCTCTTGGTCTTTAGCCTTCCAGCCTTTTAACTAGTCTTCAAATTCTATAAAAATGTTTCATTCACAAATATTTATAACCTTGTGCCCACTTCTTGCTTCCTGGATCCAGCTAAGGGAAATAAATTGTCATCTTGCGTTACTTTAGATCTTTCCATTCAATCTCCCCTTCAAATAATAAGCTTTGTTGAGGAAGGCATGACTGGTCTAAGGGCAGCATGCCATAAAAAGCTTCCAACTCATCAAATGGGACTATCCAAAGGTAGCATCACTTACATACATCCTAAAAACCTAGGTGATCCAAGCCAATAGACTGGATGCCGCTTCATCAAGTAAATACAGAAAAGAACAACTTGAGAAGCTAAAAAGCAGATTGCATTTATGCAATCACATAAAGAGAAAGTACATGTACAAAATCTACTTTAACATTGCTGGTTACTGCTTTTCTGTTGTTGTTGTTGTTAATCTTCACCAAAGGATATTTTTCCATTGATTTTTTTTAGAGAAAGTGGAAAGGAGGGAGAGAGAGAGAGAGAGAGAGAGAGAGAGAGAGAGAAACATCAATGTGAGAGAGACACATCAATTGGTTATCTCCTGCATGACCCTTACCACAGCTGGGGATCAAACGCACAACCAAGGTATGTGCCCTTGATGGAGCATTGAACCTGTGACACATCAGTCTGTAGGCCAATGCTTCAACTGCTGAGCCAAACTGGCCAGGGCTTGATTACTGATTTAAACATTTCCATTAAAAAGTAATGTTGTATCTGTCAGAATCAATGATCTAATTTTTTTTTTGCTTTATTCACCAATACAGTGCTCTTGTCATTGGCATATTAAATGCAGAAATCAGGAATGGCAGACATTGGAATTTGGATGTGCATTTTATATTTGTTTTTAAGTTCATGACTCAAGTAGGAGAGGGATTGCTTGCATTCTGTATATTAACTGTACTGCTAGCCCCTAGGAGACAATTGTGTTTGTCTTTGATAAATCACCAGAGTTGCAAAGATTCAGTTTTCACGTACTATAAAAAAGACAGAATGTTCTCCCTCTCAGGAGCACACCCACGCCTTTCTTCCCCCTCAGCTATGCATCTCCTAAATTTAAGGGTCCCCAGGAAACTTACATCCAAGGGAGCAATGACCAGAGGCAGCTCATCCAGATCTAACACCCCAAACCTATTTTCAAGGCCCCTTTTCTCTGACTTTCCAGTGAGCCAAAGCAACCCCGCCTAGGCTCTCTCCTGCTGCTTCTTCTATCCTAAGCCCTTCCTTATTTCACTATCCCCAGTTTTAATAAATGTACTCTCAAAATTAATATATATATATATATATATATATATATATATATATGCAGAATAAAGTGGAGAAAGTAGAGGAGAGGATAGTATTGGCCACATGACATTGAAGATGTGTTCAATTTAAAAATTCTGCAGAGTGGTAGGAGTTGTAGTGTGACAAACTATTGTAGATGAGAATGGAATAGTTGAGCCTTTAGAATTTTTCATAAGCTTTTCTTTGCAGGTTTTTTACAAAATGTTTAGTGTTATGAAATTCCATATTTGTTAATTATCTTGTAATACCAGTGTATGAGAAATACTTAAAACAGTCTGGTTGGAGTTTTATAACTTAGCAGACTTCACTGTACAAAAAACTTGGTCAGGTATTGGTTTAAAAAAAACGTAGCCCTGGCAGTGTTGCCCAGTTGGTTGGGCATTGTTTCATGCACTGAAAGTTTGCTGGTTAGATTACTGGTCAGGGCACATGCCTGGGTTGCAGGTTCAATCCCAATCAGGGGGCATGTAGGAGGTGGCTGATTGATATTTCAAACTCACATAGATGTTTCTCTCTCTCTAAAGGACAGCAGCAAGCTTTTGCAAAATGTCTTTTGCCTGAAGGTTCATGAAAACTGCAAAATGATGGGTATTGATTCTCAGCTGTTTTATGAAGTAGTGCACCTGGGGAAGGTGAATGGAGTGATTACATTTATATTTTAATTAATAAGTGTGGGCTCTAAGCCTCACCCTGGAGTTACTAAAGGAAAGTTACAACTTACTCAAGACAATACTTAGCCCAAGAGAGGGAAAGGCAATATCAGTTGCTTACTAACTACAAATATTGTGTATGTCAAAGTGGAAGGAGAAGGTGAAAGCAGTTTTCAAGAGCTCAGCATCTTCTTACTCTAGCTTTAATGAAAGTGTAAGCTGATGCAACCTGTTCCAGAGTAGTATGCCTATCTTTGCTTTTTTCCCTCTCAGCAAAGACAAGAGATGAAGCAGGTGGTAGGCTTGTGGATGGCAAACCATTCCAGTTCCTTTTACTCCTGCCTCTTAGGTCCAAAGCCAAGCCCTAAACTGTTCCTACCTGGTAGAGCTCAGTGGCAGTGCACTGAGTGGTCAAGGTCTTCATAGGCTCAAAGTCATCTTCATCACTGCTAAGCTTCAAGTCATCTTCAAGCATCCTACAAATAAGCAGAGCAGCATTCATGTTAGAAAGTGTCCTTTCTTAATCATGTGCAAATTCAGTATGCAATGAGGACAAAATATTGGAACTACAATCTGACAGCTGCGATGCTGTCAAAGGTGCAAAGGGAACCAAGATTCTTTCAGCTAATTAGGTATTTGAGCTCTTATATTTATGGCATAGTCTGAACACATCTTTCCTCTCTACCTTCTAAATCAAGAGGAAAAGAAAGGACCATTTCGGCACCTCCAGAGATGACTGGAGTCTATATATTTTTACTACTGAAAGAGTAATAAATGTACTGATCAAACACTGTGGAGTGAAGTATGGTATTCTATCTCTACAGAAAAAGATGCTCCAAGTCTATCATGAAAGAATAGTGGTATGATAACAGTTCCTAGCTACAGACTGTTGTCAAAGACTGCTGGGGCTCTCCAGTTGACAGAGGAAAAGGGCTCAGAGAACTGCCACTACCATTCTGTGCCTTCTGCACTGTGACAACTCAGTGGACAGAAAATAGCTGCGTGAGAAATGGCTAGTCATTAACTTTTTTATATATAACTAATCTCTTCCTGTAAAATTTGATTCAATAGATGTAACCTCATTACATGGATGAGAAGTCTTTCTCTCCTAAGGCAAGGCACTTGAAAAATTTGAATAGACTGAATTTTGGTCATGAACTAGCACCTTCAAATTTGCTTATCTATCACACAGAGCCTTTGTTTCTATAGGAATATTAATTCAAATGCAATCCACTCTATCTCCAAATTTGAGCTATAGAAGAAAGAGTGTTTATTATCTTTTTTTTTGTTTGTTTGTTTGTTTTTGCTTTTATCGTCAGTTAGAGCAGGAGGGAGAGAGAGAGAAACTTCGACATGAGAGACACACATTGAGTGGTTGCTTTATTCACCAATACAGTGAATACCACAGGACCCCAACCGGGGCCGGGGACAAACTGCAACCGATGATCATGCCCTTTGCGGGAACCAAATCCAGACTCTCTGGCCCATGGGCCAATGCTCTAAATGCTGAGCCAAACCAGCCAGGGCAAGTGTTTATTATCTTAAAATTTTAGTTAATCAACCTTAAAAGAGAAATTGGTGTTACTATTTATTTTCCGTGTGTGTGTGTATGAACACAAGTAGGCAATGACTATGTGCTAATTTATACCTGTTTAGCAAAATAAATGATAAATGATCCTTATCATTTAGAGAATCCATTTCTGTGTCAGGGGAGGTGTCAATTATTTGATCAGCAGCATGCCATTGGGACCTATGAAGGAAGTGCTATTATTAGCCACATTTTTTTAGATGGAAACACCAAGGCTTAGAGAGGCTAAAGAACTTGTTCATGATCCTGCAGCTAGGAAATCATGGAGGTAAACATGGAACCCATACCATCTTCAGCTGTAATTTGAGAGTACACAATGGTTTCCTAGAGGGTATAACTTATAAAGGATGATGTGTTAAATGAATAAAATCAACAGCAAGAACAAAAAAGGCAACAAAACAAAACATGTTGATATATATTGATTCAACTGCTGTCTAATTAAAAATGCTGATATATTAGATAAGTCATTTACTATCTCTGAGCTTCTCATCTGTTAAATAGGATAATAATTAAACTCTGGCATGTAAAGTACTTTATGAAAACATGAAATTAATGCAGTGTATTATTGTTAGTTTGGATGTAATTCACACTATTAACAAGTAATAACAAGCAAAGTATTTATAAGACTTTGTTCTTATTTTAATTTGCCTTGCAATGTGAAGCCCTGGTGACTAGGGAACTGTCTCATACAGTCTTAAAGCTGGATCCAGAAATGGGATCATGGTCTTCAGGCTACTTTCCTTCAGGTAGAACTATCACATACAGAACCAGAGTGCAAAGAGCTGAACTCAGCTGTTATTTTACTCTCCAATCAACCCTATATGATTTTAATATGGAAATTAAAGGTTCTCAACTGTACAGTTCTGAAAATAGGCAGCCAATCTACACACTGATTGATATTAAACACCCTGGTGCAACAAGCTTGGTTTAGATTTGGTTGCTAATAAAGGACAGTTTGATGCATGCATTCAAGTCCCAGTAAACTGAAGTAAAGAAATTAACTAGAAAGGTAAACTACTATTAGTTATCTCTAGGGATGTTAGGCATTCATTTCATTCTACTCCTTCCCTGACCTATTAAGCTTTATTACTTAATATACATGTACGTTTTTTTTTCATTCCAATCCAGCTAATGCTGAAAATTACTCCAGGGAAAGTGTAAGGTTATCTCAGCAGAAAAATGGTAATCTATTTTCATGAGGTTATAATTCCACAGACAAATTAGTTACACACTAAACATTCTAAACATTCTAAAATGTGAAAAAATATGTTTATATAAATGCAGGCCTGTGTGCGTAATCTTAAAAAACGGCAACGATTGTTCTTTCACTTTTTAATTAGATGAAAACAGAACAAAATAGACACCCTGAGTGAGATCAGATGATTCACAATCTAGTAGCTCACAATATCTATTTGTTTTTGTGTGAAAACTCTCTGTTTTTGTTTTTACTATGACATACTTTCTATAGTATTAAGAAGTAATATATTCCAGAAAACTGTGTCGACAAAACCAAGTCCTTGATCTGAAGAGATGATCCCATAAAAGCTCAAATTAAAAAATTTGGGGCAGATGAGATAAATAAACAAAAATAAGATTTTAGAGGTATTGGAGAGTGGAGAGTTGTGTTCAGGGTTTTGTCTGTGTCTAAATCTCTGGGCCTCAAGCTGAACCTGGTGGTCTCAGAAGGCTCTTTTCACAGGGACATCATAGGACACTATGAAGAGACAGGCCCCATATGACTTTTAACCATAAACCTTGCCACTTCACAAAGTGGAATGCTTAGTTGATTTTGAAGAGGAAAAATATGGGGCTTGAAAGATTAATATAGAAGTTTCTATGAAAATGAAGCCTTTAGTTGAGGCAACTTAAGTTTAAGAGTAAAGGCTTGAGAGACAGACAGACTTGAGTTTGAATACCGGACTTTCTAATGGGTATGCTCTCTGGAACTAGATGATAAAACTCTTTGACTATCAATTTTACCACATGTTAAAATGGAAAATAGTAGCTACTCTGGAGAATTTTTTAAAAGATTATAAAGGAGAACCGAAATGGCAGCAAAGTGAATGTAGGGACACAGACCATCTCCCAATGACCAAACTGGATTTACAATGAAAATAAAGGCAAATCGTCAGGAAGAGAAAACCGAAAAACACCTTGGAGGAACACATAACCAGAAACACCGACTCAATCCTGGTAGGCTTGTGAGGACGTGAGAGGGGGCCGGGAGCCCACGGTCCGCAGTCGCCTGGGCAGGGACCAGGGAACTTGGCGGGAATTACTGCTACCGCCTCCCTTGCAACCCTGCATGGGTCCTAGGAACTCTGTTGCCTACTAAGCCCTCAGATGGTGCCGCACAGACTCGCGGGGACCAGGGGACTCGGCAGGACTCTGCTACCAAGGCTGAGTCCCGCGTGCTAAGCCCTCGGCTGGTGCCGCACGGACTCACAGGGACCAGGGGACTGTGCGGGACGCTACTGCCACCTCTGCAGTGTCCCGCTACCGCGGCTCAGTCCTGGGGTTTCTGCTGAGTGCAACGCCCTTGGCTGGAGCCCCAGCCGGGCCTCCCTTGGCTGGAAGCAGAGCCCTCTGTTTAAAAGTCCGAGGCGGCTCCACGACGCAGAGTCCGGACAGAGACTAAATTGGCAGCAGGCAATCACCTTGTACTACGGCAGAGGGAAGGCAGACTGGACTACAACTGTGTGGGGACACTTGGGTTTTGGAGGGTGCTAAGAGCTTTCACTGAGTGCAGCCACGCAAAACTGTGGTCATTTGTCTCCTTCCCAGGGCCCTGGGGAGAGGCGGCGGCCCCTCCCTCAGAGATTCAACCCCACCTGGTGATCATTGAAATGCTAATTGAGGCCCATTAACAACCAACAGCTGCCTCACTCTCAGGAAATCCGCTTACACTGAGCACCTGAGGGAGTTTTTCAGGCAACTCAGAAACCAAGAGTCTGCAGGTGACCTTCACTAATAGCCTCCAGGCAAAAAAAAAAGCTAGAGGATAACTACCATTCCCTAGGCTAGCAACACTAAACAGAAAAGCTAAGACTTGACGGTGGTGTTTAAAGTGGGTCCTCCCTGGCTCATCCAAACCCAGGAGAGGGAGCCACAAACAGCAGAACACCAACACCCACTGGGAAAATTTGACAGACTCCAAAGCCCACTGTGATGGCCAAAATGGTGAAAAACAGAAACAAAAGCCAATTGAAAGAACAAGAGACCTCTATGGAAGATGAGATAAATGAAGTGCAGTTAAGCAAGTTAACAGAACTAGAATTTAGAGCCATGATCTTGAGGAAGCTCAACAGCATGTGTAAGGACATGAGCACCATGAGTAAAGACATGGAAATGTTGAAAATCAACCAGCTGGAAATTAAAAACCAACAGGAAGAAATGAAGAATGACATATCAGAAATGAAAAACATATTGGAAGGTCTAAAAAGCAGAGTAGGGGAAGCAGCGGACCGGATCAGTGAATTAGAAGACAGGCTAGAAGAAATCAAACAATCAGAAAACCAAAAGGAAAAAACAATTAAAAAACAGGAAGACAGCTTAAGAGAACTCTGGGACAATTGAATACGGAATAATATTCGCATCATAGGAGTCCCTGAAGAGAGAAAATAAGCAAGGGTTAGAGAATATATTCAAAGAAATAGTGACAGAAAACTTCGCTAATTTGGTGAAGGAAGAAGGCATTCAAGTTCAAGAAGCACAGAGAGCCCAAAGTAAGAAGAACCCAAACAGGCCCACACCAAGACACATAATAATCAAACTGCCAAAAATTAAAGACAAAGAGAGAATCCTAAAAGCAGCAAGAGATACGCAACAGGTTACCTACAAAGGAAACCACATAAGGCTCTCAGCTGACTTCTCACAAGAAATACTACA